AGGTACCTAACGTATCATGATTCATTCAGAACCAGAACCGCCTATAACTACCTATTTCACTCGTCTCAATAACTTTATTCATATTATTTATAAATTCAAACATCTGTTTTCGTGAGATAACTGGAAATAATGATCCATAAAGACACACATTATGTACCTACCTAGGCTACTAGTAAGTAAAAGTATTTTATAGTCTTACCTTTCAGAGTTTCCAGGTAATTTAAAAAAAAACTTATGTCTGGATGCGTTATTGACGAATTCATGCAACCAAACATAATAACAGCACAATATTTCCTATTCGTCATATTAAATAATGTACTCGAGCTGATTTCTAAATAAAAGACAACACACCGTCCGTTCGTCACTGCGGTACAGCCGCGTCTGTCTGCGTCCCGAGCGCGTCCCGACATCGGGCGCGTAGGTATAGTTCGCGTTTCGGCCGTTTCTATGAAGTTGAAATACTTGTAGATATTATTACCTTGACTTAGTCGTGTTCACACATTTGCCACCACCTGTACCTTTGTGCAGATAGAAAGAGAGAAGAATTAAGATTATACATATGACGTAGCCCAACGCCTCTACGGTGTCCATTTTGTAGCACAGTGATATGTGTCCGTCCTATTGTTTTAAATAAATAATAAATTATTGAAATATGTAATTAAATAAGTGTTTATTGATTCGCGGCATGACTTTATAAACACAATCTCATTCGTCGTTTGGTAATTCACCTCCGCTTTCTCTAACAATGGAAAACAAAATAATGTAACGAACATCAATCATAAACAATTGAACATAACTATTTGACCCGCCGCACTCGTCCCAACGCACCGCCTCCCGGTGTAATCTAAATAATATCCGAGTCAAACGTTGTGCCAACCACCAAACAACAATGATTATAATGTTAATGTATGCTAATGCTGAGAGGGCGACCGCTCGGTAGCATTTCGCAAAACTCCGTAGCGCTCCGTAGCACGTCGTAGCGCTCGGACTACGAATGTAAAAAATGAGGCAGTGGGAGTAGGGCGGCGCGCGGCCGACAGATAACGACAGCTTACGTCGGGAGGACGTGAGGCTTTGCGCTAGATTGTTGAGACATGACTTGTTTCAAAAATTGTCACAGAGTTAGCCGACGAAATGTAAATGATATAATAACAAGGGGTGTCCCGATGAGACGCAGTCATTTCCATGTTGCACCATTTTTAGTAAACGTGCACAGAATATTGCGCAGTTGAATGGATATCGATATAATGTAACATTTCTATGCGCGCCGCTTCATTACAAAACAATCTAACATTTACTAGTATCGATGTGCAATTAAACATTTAGATAATTATCTCATTTCGATACGTAAAATCTGAAAACGGTTTTCTCACTAATAACATTAACGTAGTACTTAAAGAAAAGAAAAGAAAAAATAAATGTGAAGGGAGAGTGAAAGAGATTGATATCTTGCACGTATCCTGGGAGACGGCAGGCAGATGATGGTATATGCACTAGATCCAACGTTACACACTCGAGACACTTGTGATACGCACCAATCTCGTGGTACTTTCTTCTTTGAGGTTCCCTTGAATATTTACGCTTTCACATTTTCTAGTCTAATCTTTGGGGTAGCGACGACATAACAGGTGGACTGCTGTCATAGCATTCCCTCGTCTTATTGGCATTTGACTAGGAGACATTAAATTCAAGTTCGTTAAAGTTTTAAAAATGAACCGAGACTAGCTGCCACCGACAGACAACTTGCCAAAGTTTTCGGTGACGAGATATTGTTGGTTAGATTTTAATTTGAGAAAAATACATAGAAATATAGAAATTGAATTTCAATTTGAAAATATTATACTTCAATAGTAGTATGCAGTATTGTACTGAATGTATATTGTGGATTCATTGTCACAAGATAATTAAAAAAGCTCCATTAAGCCAAATTAAAAAACTAACGTCTAGTTGACGGGTGTACCTATATATTAGCCATCGTACTTCGTCCACTTCCAGAACCTTCCAAGTCCTTTAAAGTGTGAGTTTATCGTTTATCGCTTCTCAAACTGACTCTTAGACTTAAAATAGACTTGCTCAATGCTAATAATATGCCGTCGGTCCTAGAATGTATCCTTCCTCATGTCATGGTTTTCGCGAGACGCTAGAATCGTTTCTGCCTTATCTGACGAAATTGCTGTGAGTACAGCTGATATTCTACGAGACACTATAAAAATATTACTGTCTTGTTATTTTCTATATTCATTATTTGTATCACTCATAAATTTCAGTGTGCGCATCCTATCCCATCCCATCCCAGTAAACCTGCGATATGCGCTCAGGCTCGGCCGGCAATGCCATTGACAAACACAATAATTACCTGTCAGTTTGGTATATTAGTCAATTCCGCAAAATGATGATCAGAGTGGACATAGTACCTAAGTTTCCCTGCTGTAATAATGGTCAGAAGTATCGCCTTCTTTAGTTCTAAGATAAACCTAGGCTTACATCGCGATGCTGAGCTGAACAGGTAGGATCAGGTCTCCAACGACCAAAGCAGTGCTTGTGCAATATGTAATCTTCCAATAATCGGTTATGATAACTTGTGATTCTGCTTGTATGATCTCGGCTCAGATTTCCTCAGTAAGCTTGGTCGTCCCATCAAAAACTGCATGAGGTTCGTCTTTAACCAGATGGCATACGATCACGTTTCTTACTACAGATCGTAGAGCGCAACGTGCTTTGACTTTTATTGCTTTTCTTAATTCTCCACCCTCCTCCTTGTATTCAACCCTCACTTTCGTTACCTCTGTTCCGGTCACTCTAAAAGTATTCGCCCTTTCAGTATCTTCTTCTTGATTATCCTTCTCACACCTTTGATGCTATCCACTGTGCTTTTCCATTACATAAATTCTTTTGTGGATAGGGTTGGCTGTGGTACTCGGCAAGTCACCTCGAGAAGACTGTTCGTAAAACCACCGTAGTAACAATTATTTATAAATTTATATATCATAGGTGTGTATATGGTATATATTTATTAATTAAAACCGTCTATAGATTTGTGTCCGCCTGCGCACTCGTAGGTCGCGAGACTACAGCCGCTGCGCTCCGATACACACGTACAGTGTCACACATCTAACATGAGTAAGGTGCGCCTTCTTGTGTCTATGGCTGCACATAAAGTAGGACAGTCGAAATCACGGAATCACTAATAACAACATTACATGGTTGAGGACAAGCCACATTTGATTAGCTCTCTTAAATTCAATCCGCAGTTCATAGATTTAAGTTATCTGTTCGATCAAAATACAATTATGACAAAATACTGTTACAGCCATACTCGCCAGTTAAGTGCCTGTGACACCAAACTCTACTCTCAAACACAGGTGACTTTTCGACAAACTAAACGTACTTTATTTTGGTGTCCTGACTGCAACTCAAATATACACGTGTAAACGCCAGTGTGCCTACATTATATGTGCGGCAAACGTACTACGTAACTTGTAGAACGAGAGATATTCCAACAATCACATCTGGTTAATAAAGTCCACTTGAACGAAGGACATACCTTGATGACGTACTTATACTTATTTATTTAAATCCGTACCCAGAAGTTATATAGCACCAGTTTAAAAGCTTGTAGATGGAATCGATACTATCGATAGGGGTTTTAATATACATCGAGTGCACGGTTAGTTATGTAAAGCCGTCGCGCTATAGCGAGCCAGTATCGGAAGCGCTGCTAGCAATATCGTCGATTGCACATTTCCGCGCTGTACTCGCTCATGAATTTGAAAATCAGCTCGGGTAATCGCCGTACGTTGCTGCATTTATTTAATGCATAGTGTCCGGCAGCACGGTATGTACTCATCTACAAGGAATTCACTTACTTAACACTTTCGGACGCACTTTCGTACTTTCGGACTACGACTTCGTACCTATTGGCAAAATACATTTTGAAATTAAATTGATCGAATAATTTGGCGAAGAATTGTTGAAGAAGTTCGAGATTTGAATAAAAATATAAAAAGTTAGTTTAAGTAATGTTATTACTATAATCTCCAAATAATGTTTTTATGAAAATTTTTAACGAAACACTTATTAATAAATAAATCTAATATAATTAAACACATTCATGTAAAACCATACTCGTAGACACGACAGGAGGTATGGTAGACTTATTAACAGGATTGTAGTGTAAATTAGTGGTGTCATGTATTTGTAAAATACACAACACACATTTATCCGTATTATCATTAAACAGTTTGTTAAAAGTCGACTGCTTGAGTACTCCACGTACCTATATAGTATTTGTGGTATCAGGTTAGACGCTCGCAAGTGGCGGTTGCTTATTATATGATTATGCGTTATGTAGCATAATGAGTGACAGCCGTGTATGTGAGTATGCATGTCTGAAACATTTAAAGAGTCCGCGTGGTGTGCAGGCGCGGGGTGAAGGGGCGGGGGAGGCGCGTGACTCGACTGCGAAGGTTTTTGAATGAAGACGAGTTATTTACTCGAGTGACCCTCATAAAAAGAAACGTTCCTTTAGGATTGGGCCCCACGTCTCGTCGTTGAATTTTAAACAAACACAATACTTGTATTTCAGTGATTTCCGAAACGTATTTGAATGCGAGTGGCGAGTGTTCACCCCGCTGCCTGAAGGGGAATGTGTAATGCGATTGTCTCACGCGCGACTCTTTATGTGTCTGGCTGTTCAAACCTCGGCCGCTGTCGGCAATACTGACGCTGACTCACCGCGGGCAAACAGAGCGAGTATATGATTTGTACAACTATATTTTAACTGTTTTTATTCTAATTATTTTTAATATAACAAGGGCGTGGACGTCGCGGCGACGTCAAGTAACCGTCCCGAAGCAGCCGCAGCGACGTCGTTATTATCCATAAACTGTAGTGTGAGTCACGATAGTTACTACACAACAAGGATGTTACTTGAGTTGTATGCATTGGCTAATGAATACACGCACTGTAGACAGATCGTGTCACCTACATAACACTAAAAGCTAGTTAGACAGAGCGCGCGGAGTGCCGACCCCTCGGCAGAGGTGAGCCGCCAGGAGAGCGGTGCGACGGTCGCGCGCCGCGCTAACGCAATTACTACGTGTCGCTGACGGTATCAGCCACGCGTCGCCCAGTAGATCCACTCCATCCACCGCAATGAAGACCTGGAGTCCATCCAGGTCTTCTGGGTACTGCTTCGCTCTCTGGCACACTCAATCCTTTCGCCCATCAGCAGAAAATACCCTATGATAAGCTAAGCTAACTAACTCATTTGCGTTGTACGCTGAAGACACCGCACTTATATAATGTACTCGTATGAATAACATTACAATTGGTTTTTATTAAATATATCACTTGTTTTTGCGTCGTTTGTTGCAACAAGTAAATGTATTATCGAAGTGTCTCGTGTTCAATTAAATCGATAATTACTGAAGTAAAGTTTAGTTTGTTGTGTATAGCTAATGCTTTGACAAGTGGTTTGGCCGGGGTTGCGGCGCGCGGCGTCGTCTGACACTTCTGTAGCGGCGGCAGCTGTGACACGTGGCGCAATAACTGCAGTAACTGCGTTAACGCGGCGGCCCCGCGCCTGTCTCGCTGCAGACAATCACATCAGCGACACCAAGCGTGTGCTGTGTTGACCTTCTCAACTGGGAAGTCAGTGTTAGAGTTAGTGTTAGTTAGAAAGTCGAAACATTCACTCGGAACATTCGAAACATTCGGATTTACATATTATGTACGCTTGAACATGTATATATGTACATATTTCCCGACTACGTCGAAGCAAAACAGAATGCTATAATCTAAAATCCGTCATATTTAGCCGTCACGAGTTAAGGATAAGTACTTGACATGTGAATGTGAGGCTAAATCCTGATGGATGGCGGGGCTTCCATGGTGGAGCGTTGTCCACACACGGCTATGCGCCACCTGATTTTGACTGCGTACTCATTGACTAATATTCTGTTTATTGCTGTTGAAACTCTTAAACTTAACTTCTTTTGCGAAAATTTGCTTTAAGTATGAACTAGAAATAGTCCCCTCTACTCTTACCCCGGGTGTCGCCAGAGCCGACTAAGGGACTACATGTTGGAGAGAGACCGAGCAGCAGCACTAAGTATGCAGACGGAGACCATACTGGTTTATATGAGATTTGTCCACTTCTCAAAGAAACATTATTCACAATAAAGCTGAGTGTCCTGCTGGTTGCAGGACGCCGTACTTGGCACTATTTGGGATCTTGGAATTGCCTAATTTAGAATGCAGACCCTTGCCCCCCTCTCCCCCCTATCAGCTTGGTCCATAGCTCGTTATATGTTTAATATCCATTACAGGGCGCGTTCACGTCGCTCTCTCCAATTACTGTTCACGGTCGGCTATGTATGTGGATTGAACTAAGTATTGTCGTCGCAGAAGCACCTATGTGGAGGGCGCTGTAATTGAAATACAGCGACTCAGGTCACCGCGAGCTGCGGGCTGTGGGCTGCGAGCTGCGGGCTACGGCTGCACTGAATAATAACTGACTCACAAACGAGACACAAATAGTGTGTGATCGAGATGACATCCGTACGATGAGTTATCGTCGCTTTCCTGTTTGTACTGGCCACCGACACATTCCGTTAATCAGCTCTCATTGACCACCTCGCGGAGACCAGTAAACAAGAAGCACCCGCGCCCACACAGCGCTGTGTCATTAGTGCTGACGTGCTGCATCTCATGATGTGATTGGTATCGCTGGCGCAATAGTTCTGTTTTTGTTCTGTGTGCAGTGGTGACTGATCGATCAAATATCATTCTTGGTGTGCCTCATGCCACGCTGAAATTATTAGTGGCCTGGCTGCTCAGTGGGTCGTAAGTCAGGGTCGAGCACGAGTATGCAGCATGCAGCGCACGCGCGCTGCGATCCCATTAATTGAAATATCTGTGAACGTGACTCACATGTTCCGACACAACAGCAGCAGGAGCTCGGATACACGCATACATATACACACACACATACACACACAGCAGGTGTCTCGCCACTATCTTGTGGTAGTGGGACTGCAGCCGCAGAGTACAACTGTGGCTGCAGTCAGCAATGCAGTGTATGCAGAATGCATCGTAAAGAAGTGTCTACGTGTAATTGATGGTGCTGGTGGTAGCACATCCAAGTGACTAGGGACGGAGCTATGTTTATTGAACACGGTTTGATTGTGAAACAGTCTGAGTCCGCCATGATCAAGTTTAGTAAACTTTAGTACCGCAATAGTAAAAAATTTAATTAAGCTTGTCAAACATCGCGTCACCCCTTTCTGAAAATGAGCTATAAAGTTACGTATAGTCACTCTAGTAGAGAAGGACGCAATCCTATTTACGTTTTTATTGACTTAAGTGCACAATCTTGTTGTCTATACATATAATATCTTTGAAAGTTGGTGATATACATGTTAATACAACACATCAAATAGTTAAAGTGATAACGTCGGAGTCGTGCGTGATACATGGTGCCTGTGCTGGACCGCGGCTGTCGTGCTTCTGTTCCTGGGGACAGGGGAACCAGTTGACGTGATCATCCTCTCCATCAGGCCAGCCACTCAAAACACCACACAAAGACGTGCAGCACTTCCACTCGGAGGTATTATACGAAACAAGCTACTTGTTGCGACATGACGTGTCGATGCTTCCATTCCCGCATTGAACATTTCTTTGTGTTGTTTACAAATTGCTTGGCCCTGGGTGCAGTCTATGTGTGTATTTGTAAACACACACAACTACACAGGAAGAAATCTTGGAGTGGAACGAAGTTAACATTTTCTAATTTCGTGATGTTCTACAGAGAATTACTAAGAAGTCAGTCGATAGTGTACATACTTACACAATCGTTAATAAAACGCTTAATTTTTACGCGCTGTTAATGATTTAATTGAAACATCTTGAAACAAATACATTCCTTATTTATGTTCTTCTTCTTTGTCATTACGTAGCACGGCAAACGAGCGGACGGATTACCTGATGGTAAGCAGTCACACCCGAAACAACGGAAGAGTTACGAGTGCGTTGAAAATCTTTTGGGGATTTAGGGATTGGGGGAGGGGAAAGGGCCGCCGGTAACCTCACTCACACAGCGAAACACAACTCCGGTCAAGCCATATATGTACATTCATACGTAACTGCGAATTTTTTGCGTATAAGTTAAAAAGGAAGCAGTGGCTGAAGCAGAGGCGACGAGCCGTGTACCAAATTACAAATCAGTAGAGTGGGTGTGTGGTGTCCCGGCGCACTGCAGGCGCGGGGGTACTGCAAGGCGTACTGACGGCTCAGATTACTCTCATTATTATTTCTTTGTGACGCAGACGAATTACACGCTGTCGAGTATTCACACAGTATTATTATTCTTTTATATTCTTCTTCACTAATACTTACCTAATTAAATTTTGGCGTTACTTACGCGGCTTAATAATTATTATGTTTTGTAAATTTGGAGTAATTGTACCTGAAACAAAAATAAAAATATTTGTTAATTCTAAGTGAAATGTAAGCAACAGCTGGGATGTATAAAAACTGGTCTTTACAGTACGTGGCAGGATGGCAGAGCAGAGAGAACACTTCGGTGATGTCGATTATAAAGTACAAAGCGGAAGCAATAAATAGACGAGTGCGCAATAAAACCTTTACGATATAATCCTAAACTTTAAGATCTGACAAACTATACAAACGTTCACTTCATTACTATGCAATAACAGTTCATAAGTCTCACAGTATAGGCACACCACCTATTAAAAAAGTATCTCATGGTTGCCTTAAGAATATTAATTACAATAACACTGATTATCGCCCATAATAATGTCTACGCTGCTACGGGCTACGTTGTCAAGGACTACGACGCTACGGACTAGACAGCTACGGTCTACGGCACTAACATTCTCCAGCGCTACGGTGCTACGGTGCTACGGTGCTACAGACTACGGTTGCACGGCTTACGGAGCGTAGTTACACGATTTAATATAACTGGATACCTTTTTAATAACTTAAGTTAGATCAGAGATAATCAGGAAACCATTATAAATGTATGATTCAAAAATGCATTATTTCTGAGTATTTCCTGGGACTATCCAACGTTCATATTCAAATTTGTTTAATTTCTATCTGCATACACTAGCATCACTGGCCGCCTCGTTGATGTTACTCATTCCCAGCTTCCCGAGCCCTTCTGACTATATCATTATTTCTCTTCCAGCAAGAGTCCATGTAATGGAAACATTTAATCCTTTGCAATCTCTTTGTGTGCTGTGTCGCAGGCTCCTAATTGCGCCCAGCAAAAAGTACCACAAAGTCTAAATTAAAATGTGCATCGTCCTGGAACAGATGTCTTCAATTTTGTTCTTTAACAATTAAGAACTAGAGTTTATTTTTGCAAAACACTAACAGGCCACATTTCTCAAACTTCTAGTAGCAATTAATTATGGAGAGGTCATATTACGTGAGTTTCGGTACAATGATATAATACATATATATGTGGGCCGACATTAATGCCACAGCTGATGGTAGCGAGTGAGGTGAGCGAGGCCATCATCCCAGCACAGTGTCACATCATGAAGTGTGGCGCGGGTGTCGGCAGTGCGGCAAATAAATGATTCCGCTCGAACAACAAACTTCCATATTTCCATCAGTATAAAAACATTTCGGTGATGTGGACTGTGGCAGAATATCTGGCTTTATGTGGCGTGCATAAATAACGCAAATGATTTTATTGTCGGTGGCTGAAAAGTTGACGTCGTAAAGTTTAATGGGCGCTGAAATATATTCCGCGACGGGCGCGCGATCGCGGTGTAGTGGAGCCGACCAGCAAGCGCTGTGCCGCCGCTGTACGTTGCGTAGTGTATTCTGTCGTTTAGTATGTACATGCGTTCGGAAAACAGTTCATTAGTAGGTTCCGTTTGCTTTATATATTGTAAGTAGGTACAAACATTTCAGTGCTTGATAAATCCTGTATAAATTAAAAATATTATGTGATATCAGAGCAGCAGAATAATAATGGATTTCATCGTTTGGAGTTTAGAGGTTAAAATAAAAGTGGAGTCGAAGAAACAAAAGCCACAAGTAAGAAACACTGGAACGCGGAATTTCTTACAAAACTTTCCACTCGCCATTTGCATATTGATTAATATAAAGTATGATTAGCATACATTAACTTGGCTGTAGATGTAGCTACGGTTGAAGGGAACTGCTTTTGTTATTGTATTAACATCGACTTGTTGGGATTTGCATTATGATCGATAGCAACACTCGAACGTATGAAGTCACTAAGGTCAAAATATTTAAAGGAATCATTTACAAGTCGTGAGGCTGATATTAGACTTTCCCCTCCCGCTCCGCGCCCCTATGACAGCGCGCTATAGTCCTGCACTTAATTGCTGTGAAAACCGGCGCTTGATAATAACCAGCGACGGACAAAAGACGCTTCCACTCGATTATGACGCGAGCGAAGTCACGCGCTGCAGCGGATACACACTGCAGTCACGCTCACCCGACGTATGTCTATATTTGTTGCTCATACACACACAATGTGACACCGACGACTCGCAAGTGGCGTTATGTTGCATACCATGCAGGTAACAGAGACAAGACATTTATTTCTTTTTTTAAAGAGGACTGTGACTGCGGCACGCTAAAGCTCATCGCTTGCGCCGGAACGTGTCGCTGAGTTACCTCTAATCCTACTCGGCGGTGACCGTTTTTTACTGAATCGATCATTATAAAAGTCATAACATTAGAATCATTTCAACATATAATTTGAAACTTACCATGATAAGCAATTATTTAACGATAGATTCCGTGCTCTTAGAAATATTATGTTGCTCTTCCTATATACCTATATACATGAAGCTACAGTTTGTCGTTGTATATAAAAGGAAAAAGAGTAAAAACAAATGTTTTCAGAATACGAATAATGAGTGACTCGGTTCCGTCGAACTATTGACCACTGCAAGGAAAACCTGAAACGCAAATATTCACGAATATTGTGCGGCTGAAATCAAATTATTTTGAGATTAAAGTTAAAGAATATTGATTTCAGACACGTTTCAAGTGAAGCCGCAGTCGATTTCAACCAATATATAACACAAATAAAAGTATGAAGAGACGAGGAAGGTTGGCAAGGATGTCGCAAACTGTCGCGCCGCATTGTCAGCAAAATAATTCAAATTCAGATGCGATGTCACTTTCGCACCTAGCGAGCCTCATACATTACGGATGTTATACAACAAAACAATTTAAGCGGCTGTTATATTTGTCACTCGAGAATCGAAAAACCGATACATTGTGCAGCAGCCGGATACCCGACCACTGTACCGACCAGTTATACCGCATCACTTGCACATTTATTATTATACGCAGCACTCAATCCTCCAGCAGACATCACCGCGTTGACTATCGTGGTGCAGGTAGCGCGCGGGTTCTAATCGTACAAGAGGAGATGTTCCACCCTCTGATGTGGCTCCGCTGTGGTGTCAGCGTTCGAAGGTATATGTATGTGAAATTTATCAGCTGCTTAGTATCCCGGGCACGTCGTCATTTCCAATCGTCGTAAACTTAAAGGGAGGGGTGACAACCGTTCCAGCACGCTGCTGGCTGCTGGCTGGTGCCTCGGGTATATGCATAAATATTCAATACTTGAAATATTAAAATCATCGTTGCTTAATAATGTAGGTCTGTTACAAATTATCAGTTTTATAAAACATTTGTTTAATACTTTTAATTTTATCGTGGAACCGTAGCTGATTGGCAGGTTGCACCCACAAGCGGCGCTCACAGAGTTGTGTGTTTATGCGTGAGTTGGTGTGTGTGTGTGTGTGTGTACAGTGTAGTGCCTGAGAAATGTTTATTGGCTGCAAATGTCAACAGAGTCTAGTAATTTGCTTTAATTGACATTTCAGATAGGAGACGACAAGACGAGGAAATTATTTTGATTGCAACCGTGAGATTAGCGGAGTTTATATGCGCGCCGCTAATTGTGGCAGCGTGCAGCCAGTGTGCACTCCGCCTTGCTGCTCACATCTCATTATTAGTAAACTGATGTTGTTTGTTGCTGCACTGCTCCATTACGTCACTAGTGCACACTCTCGGAAGCCTCGACAGAGACACCCACTGAAATAGTCTTTAATCAGCCTTATCTTTTTAAAGTTTTGCGATGTTCATGAAAACTGCTGAGCCATGGTTTGTAGAGATGAAAGTGAGGGCGAGTATACACACGACTTACTTGTAGAAAAAAAAGTTCATTTAGTAGTTTTAGTTAAAAAAGAACATATTTAGTGTCCTCTGTTCTCACAGGGAGGCAGCGCTCACCACACGAAGCCATTGCTTACCTTTACACGTACTACAAACGAGAGAAACTAAATATATCGAACTTTGTTGAAGTATAAAATAAGTCTGATGGCAACTAAACAAGTTGTATTTAATAGCTGTGATTACCATTACAGATGGTCGCTCCGCAGCAAATCCTTCGGAATGAGTTTAACGGCGTTCAAGTAAACCGTTGTGACAAGCTCAATTATAATGTTAAATAGCTGTAAAGTGCGTCGATTCATTTGCTAAGATCCCGGCGGCGCGCGGCGCTGCCTGCCCGTGGCCGCGGCGCGGGGCTCTATTAATCGCTACGTGACCCGGAATCAAATGACCAGACGCCGTCGTAAATAACCTGCCAGATATGATAATTCTCCCCTCGGCCTTTTAATAAATTTAGAATCCGACAAAATTTAATAAAAGCTGGCGTCGACAAGACACACGTCCACTCCACTATGAGCGCCGCATGTACCACGAGCCAGACTGTACCGTCACGGTTAGATAATATTACGTTTATTGTTTTAATAGAGTGCAAGCCTGAAGAATCATTTTGTCCAAAGTTCTTAGTACTACATGTCGTATACATACTTAGTACAAAATTTAGAATTGTGTTTGATTTTTGTGCAAATAAATAGTTTCTTATTTTGACTTACACTCTAGAAATGCTACGTGGAGACTGTACGGAAGAATACATTTAACTAGCCCCACTCTATCCGGTCTCGGCTGAGTAGCATTAAAGACTTCAAAAGCAGAGTAAAGATACCAATCAGAATCATAAAATTCTCTTGTGCGGAGGAAGCGCATAGTAATCGGAATCCACCATTGGACTATCGTGAGCTGCTGATGCTTGGATGCGACTAAGTGTAAGTCACTTAACATAATAATCGTTACCTATTTCCCTCACATTGTTTAGATGTGAACGATAAAATATACACTCCGGTACAGCTATACGCATGGCTCGCGGAATCAAGATTTAATGCCAATAAGTTTTACGCAGAGCGTGGTCCGGCGGCGGGCGGCGGCCCGACAGTAGCTCGTTACATTCATAGGTAGAGCCGACATCGGATGGACAGGCCGGCAGCACACTAGATACTTACTAGTGAGACACGTAATTTTGGAAGATGCTTACTGGTATTGTTAGTATATTTAACAAAAATAATTGTTACATTATAAGGGGTCATGGACCCGAGCTCTGCGGCTGTCCAAGGCGTAACAAAGTTTTTAATTAAGACAATGTAGCACATAACTAGTACCTACATAATAACCTGTAAGGTATTAGGTAAGCATCGCCTGGTACTCGATACCGTATTAAGTGTTTTCCAAATTGCTGCTAACGAATTCAACCGAGTGAGATAAGATAGTTGGTTGGATAAGATAAAAGTGACCGTTTTATCTTTTGGTCAATTACAAATATAGACTTGTAATCAAATGTTCGACGACATTCATACCTTATACTGGACACTGTAATATGTGTCGGTATGTACGACAATATTGCTGCCTATTACGTAATGAACTAGTTCTCGACGCGCCGCTTGAGGGGTTGACGATGATGTATTTATTACGTCGTTTGCAGTGAAAATTAGAATGTTAGTGGGCGCGACTCGTGGCTCTCACCCAGAGCCTTCGACAGACATATAGTTGTCGTTGTTGTTTTCCATAGGCGAACTTACGTAATGTATACACGCAGCTATAATAATCTGAAATACTTGCTCGTACTCGTTCAGATATGATATGGAATAGGCTCTCCATGTAACAAGGGACCTAATCTGGTGGAAAGTTGTGTCATTGAATATATGTACACTTACTTATTACAACCTTTTTTTTTGTGAGGGGAAAATCATCAAATGACTTCTCCCGCCCAGGGCCAGGCGGGAGGGAGTGTCAGACTCTTACTGACTAAAAACCCCCCTGTTCCTACTCCTGCTCTAGGCCGAGGTCGCGGTGCCTCATTGCGCTTACCCCACAACCCCGGCTGAATATCAGCCCTTTAGGGCCCCGTCTGTGGTGGTCTATTGGCTCTTCGAGGCGCGCGCGGATCGCTACGCGCCGTACGCTCGGGTCCGGTTCTGGTCGGGCGGCGAGCTACCCTTACTCGTCGTCCGCAGACCCGCGCTTACGGTGGCCGGAGATCATCTCTCGATCCCCGACGCCCGGAATGTCGCCTTCTCGCGCGCTCCGCCTCCTCCTTTGCAAGCATAACTGCTTCGCAGAAGGAGGAGATAGCTTCCCAGTTCCTCTCACGTTGCACCATGGCCTCGAATAAGGCCGGGCGCGAGAGGTCGCCGCCGCCGATCGCTTCCCTGAGAACACGGCGGTGCTCAGCCCAAGCAGGGCACTCCACCACCGTATGCTCCACCGTGTCCTCTAGGTGGTCCTCACAATGACGACACTCGGGCGTTTCCTTCCGCTGGATCCGAAACAGGAACCTACCGAAGCTGCCGTGCCCGGTAAGCACCTGCGTCAGGCGGAAGGTGAGGACGCCGTGGTGTCTCTACTCCTCAAAGAGGGGTCTTACCGCTACTATAATAGCGTGCCCGTACTTATTACAACCTAATGATATCTTAAAATAATGGTTTCTTTGAAACTGACATCCTAAATAAATTGAAGCAGTTTAAATGCCGCGGGTGTACAACACACACTCCAACTGCAGTAAATGACTGGCTGACAGCGACGTCACAACGATGTGGGACGAAGCTTGTTTCACTTATTTCTGTATTTAAATTCGTGTGTATTTTATTCAGCACTTAAATAACAATTGTCACTGCATGGTGCAACCAATAGCGACTGGCAAACCGAGCTGCTGTACTACAAACATTATTTCTTTATATGATCCATAAATTGTTATTTTGTATTTTGGTATGCCAGCTCGCTCGTAGCGGCGGCGGCGGTCACATAGCTCGGTATCGGGCGTTGAGCCGAGGCGCGACACAACACCGCACACACCTCTAGTACTTACAAACTGTTTCCGGGCGTCGAAGATCGACACACGATCTCCGGCCGCCGTAAGCGCGAGTCTGCGGACAGCGAGTAAGGGTAACTCGCCGAACACCCGGGCTTACGGCGCGTAGCGTTCCGCGCGCGCCTCAAAGAGCCAATAGACCACCACAGACGGGGCCCCATAGGGCTGATATTCTGCCGGGGTTGCGGGGTAAGCGTAATGAGGAACCGCGACGGGGAAGGAACGGGGGTTTTAAGTCAGTAAGAGTCTGACACTCCCTCCCGCCTGGTCCTGGGCGGGACAAGTCATTTGATGATTTTTCCATCACAAAAAAAGGGCACCAAACTGTATTTTTGGTGGCCACACATAACGTTTATTTACAACAAAACATCGATAAATAATAAAATGATCTTTCTATCAGAAAGTGGTCGGATAATAGCGAAATTTGTGTATATGTAATATACTGAGTGTAGTGACGCACACAACTACGCGCATGTACACAGACATCTATTGTACACGGAGTCAAATATTTGTCAGACAATTCAATTAGGAGTGTACATAGCACGTAATGTAACAAAGTTTGAAGTAAACAGACGCGCGCCACTTCGCTGCGATTGTTTGCGGCGCGCGCCCGACACAACACACACTTGTCTGCCAGCCGGCGTCTTACAACGCGGGCGTGGTGCCTGCTGCAGCCAGCTCGTAACCGATCCAATAACAGCCGGACACCTCGAGCTAGCAGCGCCAGGTCCGCTAGAATGAAATAAACAGTTCACTTGCTATCTGTAACTACTACTATTAGTACGACCAGAAAGGAAAGCTTCAATTAACTTTGGCTGGCTGTTAATAAGCAACAAATGATATACATTGATCTTTATTGACCCTAGTAGCATAATGCGATAATCGGCTAAAACGTTCTCCATTACATTTGTCACGAGCTAGTAAGTGGGTACGAGCATGTCGAAGCGAAGCTAATGTTGATGAGTTCAGTAATTGAGCGTCAAGTTGAAATTAATACATTTTACGGTCGTCCTCTCATGTAGCGGTTATTAATTAAAAAGCTTCGTTGGAGTGTGACGTGCAGACGGCGCTCGGCGGACATGTACCAGGGTAGCACAACCGATGCAGAGCTGCACGCAGCGAGTCGCGACGCGTGTAATCACCGCGCGCTTCTCAATTGACCTGCCGCCGGCCGCGCAGGGCCGCCACTGCTGCCGCGCGTAGTTATGTTTAATCTGTTAATGCTCGACTCTTGGGGAAATAATTACTACTTGCATCTGTGTGATGAAATCCATTAATGGGTGAAATTAACATAATGTATAATTGACTCAGATTGATTTTATATACAAGGATTTGTATATTCGACTATAAGTCATATCAGTTAATTTATGCTGTATGCCAATAAATAAAATGTTGTTAATTTATTATATAATTGAATTGAATATAAACGTAATTTTAAATACAGCAGTAGGCAAGTCCCCGCCGCGTGTCTCCCACGGAACATATTGTTGGCCCGAGGCGTGTTGCGGACAGTCGCGGCGCAACTCTCCGGTGACTCAGTAATTATGTCTTCCGGCTGTCGCCGATACTGCACACACACGTACTGAGCACGTACTGGCTTGGGCAACTTCATGTTTCACAGTGGTACTCACTTCTCTAGTAGGTACTAACTTAACTGTATAAGTTTCTTAATAACTCCAAAAGGTAGTGGATTGGAGTTTTGTAACACAAGATCTGGAATTATGTCTTAGCTTTTCCTTGTCAGAAAATATAAAACACAGTTTTGTTTATATTAACATGAAGCACACATTAAATACATTGTACTTGCAGAGTCGGTTGTCAGCCCTGCGCGTGCGCGGATGATTTAATATGGCCGCTACAACAGAAGGGTCCGTCCGTCACAAGTCGCGGGCTCGCATTACGTTGCACTATCGTCCGCAGCGGATTATATCATTACATACTGCTCACACGGCTGACTCAATGCACGGACAGAACAACCACTTGCATAATCGGTCGATTACGATTTATGTAACCAGACTACTACTATAAAACAGTCATTTTTTTCGTAGTAGAACAGCTCAGAATCCTATACGATTTATTAGATATTTTAGGAAGCATTGCGGAAAACCAGCGTGGACCTTGCAATATTTTTCGCCATGTAAGTAAGGTTACTGCCTTACCGAAGGCCAAGTTCTCTTCTAGGTTTTCCATTCTCAATCCACAAATTCCTGAAAACACCAAAACGGATTTTTTGAGGAAGAAAATCATCGGATGCCATCTCTCGCCCTGGGCGTGGCGAGAGGGAGTTTCAGGTTCATACCGACTAAACGTAACTCTTTTAGTGTGGATCCATCAGGTGATTAGTCTGTTCTTTTTCTGCCATATCTATATTGTATAGCCTTGTACATATGTAGCATAGATGCGTAATGTTTACTCGTGTTACTCGACTACACTCACTGGAGGGTAAAGGTAGGCATAAGTCGGTACAACACTATTTTGTAGACACGAGCGCGGCCGCGGCGTTAATAAATGCTAGTATGTTTGTCACCACAGTAATATAGATAGGGAGATACGTTTTCAATGTTTTCATTATATCGGCTAATGACGCCATCCACGTCTTCTCTTGTAGGCGGCCATTTTACCGAGGCATCCACCTACTACATTAGTTAATACATACAATATTAATCGCTCGCTTACAACGAGTATAGCTGATGAAAGAAATGTACAAAGGTCAAGCTATAAGCGATGAGCGTTTTATCATGAACAGAACTTTTCAATATTACAAGACTATGAAATCCGAAACGTTTGCGCGGGTTTGTGGACCATTTGCGTTAAATGATTTAACTATGACGTTTCCGTTTTCAGGGTTCGTTACAGTACGGTACTCGAATAGAGTGTTCCATAGTAGGGCTGCCAGTATGGTGCAACCGCTGCGTCTCATGAGTTGGTCCCCACGTAGAGAGCGGCCGGCGCGCGGGTCCCAGGGCGCGGGCCGCGACTGGAATGTCTTCATAACGACGCCGTCATTATGAGCCTCACTGCATAGACACAGCGATTAATACATTCACTGTCCCTCACACCGACTCTAACACAGTTATTATGATTATCTTTACATTACGTGAACTAGAGTTAACATTTTGCACAATGCCCTATTTGCGTACATTATTATATTTTAATAGTGTATGACGAGTGGGTGAAATGCCAGTATAGCCTTAGCAATAACTACGTACCTACTTTTTTTATTAACAGGATACTTGTCGAAGAATTATCTGAAGTGAAGATATAACTTGACGACGTAACGTCGTTTGTGATATTACAGTGGACACGCAACCAGTTTGACGGAGCAATAATTCAGCTGTGTGAGCGTGATGTACACCGAGCGTTAGCATAATAACAGCTATCGAGAGATGCCGCGTGCCGTGTGGCCGGTGTGGCGGGGACTAAACGAATGCCGACCCACTGCAAACTGCGTTCCAGTGCATCGCATCGCATGTATCAAAAAGTTGACACGTGTTCTAAAAGTATCATCGTCACTCAGTGACCAGTGCGAGTACCTGACTACACAAACTACACACGCGCCGCTTCATACAAACAAGTTCCCTGAGCTACAACATACGCATTTGCTACGCACAACTCAAAACTTTGTAAGTGTGCGTAAATTAAAAGAACATTGGAGTACTACTGACCTCATATTAAAGAGCACTAATCATACATCATCTGGGTGATAAGAGTAAACTATCGACATTTGTCACTTCCCTTATTGTTTCACTCCTTCGGGTGACGAGGACAACCGACCAAGGTACTACTTATTTCACACATAATGGGCAGCATCACTCTCTGATAAACATAAAATATTTAAACTGTAATCTCCAAACCAGGCGAGTTTAAGACCAAGCGTGGAGATGATGACAAGCTTTCTCTCAAAATTACATACATCTTATGATTATACCTGTAATTGTGAACCAACAAAGTAAGGATTGCTTGACAACATTCGTAGTCGTTAAAATGACATAGTCCAGCAGTTCGTGTATTAGAGATGGCGGCAGACAAGAACGCACCAGTACAGTAGGTAGTACGGGTAGCCGCGGAGCAGACAAAGGGAGCGACGATTAAGTCGGGGACAGGAGCGCGGTCAATAATAACATACACTAATGCCCATTCATTGCTGATGAACGACTGAGCGAGACAGCACGCGAGCCCACCACCGTGTGCGACAGAGATGAAGTTAATTGTGATATAATAAAAGAGCGGTTTAGCGACAAGCTCCACTATTGAGTAATGAAGTTGGTCTGCCGGAGATAAGGCTGACGCGCTCGCCTTACTAAGTTGTGCGTGGCTGCTCATTGCTCGCAGACGAATGGTAATAGGTTATGCACATTATTAATGTTATACGTATTTGATAGGTGTCAGAGGTGCAAAACTAACACGAGTTTCTAGTCCACGTTTGAAGAATTATTATCCAAAATACATGAGCTTACAGTGAAAACACTCTGCAAGTTTCTCCCGTCGCGCGTCGCCTAGATACAGTGCGAGCTCGAACTCACTCGACAAACGTAGGTTGTGCTTATGGAACAAACTTCCTCATATAGAGAACTAAGAATTTCTGGTTTAGTTATAGATCATCGCTTGCTGTTGATGAGCAAAGCGTAAAAATATTGGTACCTAGTAAAACTTACCAATTTAGCAAAATAAAGTATTTTTGTCAAATCAAATAACTACCTATGTAAGTGGAAGCGATTTTCTCTTAATACTTGAGATGAGATATGTTCCCAGAATAATCCAACAAAAAGGCTCCGTATCACCGAGAGTCAGCTGGGGTTCGTGTTAGTTCACTAACTCACTTTGTGGATTCCTCTCGTGAGAATATAATCACCTAATAAGGTGATATTGTTACTATTACAGAGCTCCGAGTGTTATTCCAAAGAAGTTGTTATTATAAAGAAGGTATAAAAAGTTGTTCACACATGAACGTGCCATTTCAGCGAGATAATCCTACGTGATTAAAATAAGGAAAACATATTACTTATTAAATATATAAAACTAATAAAACATCACGTAATCACGTAAGGTATATAGCACTGAGATGGTACATTACACGCATAGCACACAATCATAATGTGGTATGTGTGTACATAGGATAAGTTTAGTATATAAGATCATGTCGATTAAGCAATAAAGCAGTCATTAAGTTGATTCCGACTTTGACTCACTACCCTTCCTCCACCTCTCACTGTGGCCAAGACACCTTTAGCCATCAACCGATCTGTCGTGTGAGTCTGCTCGACAGGCAGTGAGAAAACCATCACCACCATACCCCATTCCTACCCACATTCCGTCTGCCATCATAGGTCTCAGTTGGCAGATATCCTGCACCTATCTATATAAGTATATATAAATACGTATAGTAGGGCTAGGGTCTAGGGACTGTAGGGCTAGGGCATTAGGCGCGTACGAAGAGTAGGTCTGTATCACAGCATACCACAGTGTACCACTATAGTACGTGCCTTAGGTTAAGGGCTTGGTAGTAGGTGCGTAGAAGTGCTGGTCTGTATCACAGTATACCACAGAGTACCAAGCCTATACGCATTGTACGCTAGGCAAATATAGGATAGAACTTAGACTACATAGGTTATTGGGCTTAGGGGATCTAGGATAGGATATTGTAAGTGTTAGATTATCTAGGATAGTGTAGGATAACGTTAGCTAGTAGTACTTAGGATAAGGTATTTAGTCCTGTACAGCGCGATCTTAGCGTAAGGCTATTATCACGCTGTACATTTTGGTCCTTCGAGTCATCGGTAGAGAATCATCTTGTCCCTTAAATTGACTAATTGACTGACAGACAATTGGTATACAGCAGACTTGCGCATAAACCTAGCGCTTGTTTCGTTGTATATCAAGTGACTGACTAACTTAGTTTGCGTCGTTCGGTAGCGGATCAGGTATCGGTCTCCCTGAACAGGGTCGCCCCGGTGCTCGAGAAGTCGCACATACCGTAACGAGGATATAGATCGCAACTAAGTGTAATTGTTCTACCCCCTTATATCATTGTTAGGTTGGTTAGGATAGGATAGGGCAGCAAGATGGAAATACAACAAATCAACGAAATTGTGAAAAGTCAGGAGAGCCACTACAAAGAAATCGGACGCATATTCAACAACATCAAAAAGGATTCGACATCAAGAAAAACAGAGAAGTACATCGCAGAAAGAAGATCGCGACTCACAGAAGTCTTCACCAAAGCATCAGCAAACCATTCACTAATTGAAGACCAGGAGATCTTAGAAGAACATACCTATATGAAGTCTAATTACTTCGGGATCATCAAAGAGCTGTATAAAGATGCTATGGATTATTTGGAACAATGTGAGGCAAAACTTTCAATTTGTCAGCAACCTTGTGTTCGGGACCCAGAAGAAGTCAGAACCAACAGTAACAATTCAGCAAAAATGAATTTGCAATTGTACCGCATCAATCAGTTGCGTCAAAACCTCGAGAAAGCAGCCTTGGCGATTGAAGACGACAGATCCAGCTATCACTATAAAACATTGCTAGAAGCCTTGCAAAAACAGTGTGATAAAGTTGAAGAAGGCCACTTCAATATCTGTGAGGAAGAAAACATCTTAGAACATAGTTATTTTCAGGATGAAGTGTTTGAAAAACTGAAATCAGACTACGATAACATAATTGAACGACTATATGAAAAGCTACAACAACATCAAACTGATCACAAACCATCCGTGAAACTACCAAGAATAGTCATTCCAATGTTTATGGGAAGTTATGAGTCGTGGAGCTCGTTCTATGACTTATTTTTAAAAATCATTCATGAAGATAACTCACTCACAGATACAGAAAAGATGCAGTATTTAAAGACGCACGTGAAAGGTGATGCAGCCAGACTCATTAGGCATTTGACAGTTTGCGAATCTAACTATGCGACTGCGTGGACATTGCTTAAGAATCGCTACGAAAACGAGAGAATGATTATCACTAAGCACATTGACAACATTCTCAACATACAAAAACTGAAGGTGGGCTCTGCGAATAGTTTGAAGTTTCTGCATGATACAATTAAGGAGAACCTAGAGGCGATTAAAAATCAGAAAATTGATATCTCGTCATGGGATCCTATGTTAACAAGAATACTGAGTCGTATTTGGGATTCGGAAACTGACGAAAAATACGAACAACAACTCGTAACGCCGAAC